AATTCTGTACAGCCAATCAAAAGACAATGAGGAGAAACCCCAGGTTTGTCCACTGTTGTCTGGTCTGTCATTGCAGAGCTCAAAGATAAGCCCGAGCCGACTGGAAGCTACATGGGGACCAAGGAGAAGGTGGGGAGCACCTTCCACCTGGCCCAGTATCCTGCCTGCGTCAGCATTTACGACAACTCATGGCATTCCTGGTGGAGATGAGTGGAGAAGTTCTTACAACAGGAACCATCCAACTTCAACTTGCCCGTGAGCCTGTCTGGGTGGGAGAACAGGGGACTTTCTTTGTACCTACGTGGGAGCCATGCAGCTCAGACCCTGGAGGTCGGCTGTGCTTTCTCAGCCCTGAGCAATGGGTTCACACTGCACACCTATGGCGGTCCTTTGGAAGAGGCCCCACTACATAATGGGCTTATCATAGTCTTCCATCTTATTTCAGATTGTTTTCTAACAGACGTGTCTTTAAAAAGCTCTAACCAAAGCTGGGGAAACACCACGATTTCACCTTTACCCTACCTCCTAGTCTGGCTTTGAAGACAGGCCTTCTTTTGAGAAGCAGCTGGGGTACACCTAGAAAGCAGGGGTGAGGGACACAAAACAAAGTGAGACCACGGAGCCTGCATAGAGTAGCCATTCCTCAAAACTGTCCCTTCAGAGCGGGCCATTGTCCCCTTGCCTGGATCACAGAGACCAGTGTCCTCATAGAACTTGGCTTCTGACTTGAGGCCTTTCCCAGCAGGGTCTGAGGAACAAAAGCTGCCTAACAATGGATGCCAATCCTTCATTTTCCCTTTTCTGCACTAAATTAAGCTGATGCCGGAATAGGAGTTAAGTCAGACAAGAACAGAGCAGGACCCCCACATGGCTGTGGCTTATTGTTTTGGAATCGCTTGTCTTCAGTCAACCCAGCCAGACAGCAGATTAAAAACACCGCCGGCTCCAGTGTGCTGGCTTGCAGCCCATGCCCGTGGCACCTTGCAGTCCCAACCCCCCGGGGTCCCGTTGTTCCGAGGGCCATGATGCAGTGGATTTGCCGTAGCTCTGAATCAGGTCCCCCCTTTCCCCCTCCGTCCTCCGCCCCGCCCGCCGGGCCGCCCCGAACAGGCCGAGCGGTGAGGCCGGGCGCCAGGGGCCGCTGCGCTCCCGCTGTGCGCCGCCCGCGCTGCTCTCCGCTGGGCAGCCCAGCCCGCCCCGAGCGGCCGATCGCAGCTCGCCTGGGGGGGCCCCCGTCCGGCTCCCCGCCCGGTGCCGTCTGGTCCTCTGCCCCGTTGCAGGTGGACACGAGACCCCACGAGCCTCGGACCCCTGATTGCGCCTGACCCCTCGCCCTGTTCCAGCAGGGCCCGGCAGGCGCTAATATCTCCAGCCCTGGCGGTCTGCGGGGAGCCAGGGCAGAGCCCGACCTGCAGAGGCTTGGGGAGCCGGCCGAACGCAGCGAGCAAACAACTGGAAATTATTAATAGTTAATGCGCTTCGTATGGCTCCAGCCGACTCTTGGCTCAGCAGGGCGGGCTCTCAGTCAGCCTCTGGCTCTCATCTCTGCCCCGCAGGAAAAGAGGGCCTACTCCGTTTATCCTCAGGGGGCTCCCACGGGGACGCATCACTCCCTGGCCTGAGTGCTCCGCTGAACAGGCTATGGACACACCAGTCAGGGAGAGTCTGTGGTGGGCTCTGACTGGGACCTAGAAAATGATGATCACGCTCAGCAGGCTGCCCACGGGCTGTCGGAAGAGCCATGGGCTCCCTGTTGCGGGGCCACCGTTTTCATTCATAGGCGTTCCTGTCTAAAAACCAGACTGGGATTTCTCCCCTCCTTAGTGTGAGGCCTTATCTGAGTGGGAACTCTTTTCCGTAGCTGCCAGCTGTAAACTGGCTGTTCTCAATCTAGTACTTTTTTTCTCACAGAGACCTCCATGATTAGCAGTAAGCATAGGAAGTCCCCACCCCCCCATCAGCCACCCTAACCTGGGGGATTTTAATGGGTGTTCGGCTAAGAACCTCAGGCTGGAGCTGTGCCCAGACCTAACCCACAAATGCCAGCTCTAAAGAGGAGGCGTGCACCGGAGGCTTGGAGACTTCCTGGCTAGATGAGAGGTGGGCTCTGTGCATGTCCTACAATGGCAGCTCAGCCTATGTCCTGGTAAAAACAAAGGATACTTGCCTTACTTGTGACCTGTG